TCTAATGGCTGACAGTATACGAGTAGCTCAGCCAATCAGATTGCAGCATTTGCATTAGTATACTAGTAGAATTCTACTAAAAAGGAAGAGAGTATTACTTCGAGCTGAGTAATTTTATGTGAAAAGAATCGATAATTTTGTAATCATTCATTCAGGTAACGGAGGTTTGAATATCTGATCTTGAAGTGTTAACCATGCTACTTCTCCGTTTACTCCTTTGTTTTGCTGTCGAGAGGCAGCGAGGCCGAGTGGTTAGGGCGCCGGACTTGAAATTCGGAGGTCGCAGGTTCAACTCCCGCTCTGACCACTAAGCTGGAGGTTCTTTCTCGGGAGACCCTAATTCCACTCTTCGGTCATGCTTGTAAATAGCCGACTGGTATGCCTCCAACCAGCTGGGATTTCTAGGCCTGTTATGTTTATTTTAAATATTTCTTTCTTTCTTTGTTTCAGTTTAAATGGCATGCCTGAGAACCAGCTACAACTAAGCGCATCGAACATTATGAACATTCAACATTTAACAGTTTACATGTTTCTATTTTTGAAATTTCGATTGAAAATATATCAAATACTAGAGACAGTGTTTTATCATATTTCCAAACATCTCATTAAGAACTTCTTTTCGCATCATTTTTTCCAGCCCTCTTTTCGGTGTCCAGAAATATGATAAATCACTGCTCTCATGCAAGTGTCGTGCAAAAAGAACAGAATACCCAGGTCAGTGCTGGGCTCAGGGGGACTTGGTCTAGAGGGCAACCCACTTACTATTTAGCCACGGTGTCTTCCATACACCGACACAATAGATGCAGGGTAGTAGCCAGAAAAACATATGACTGAAGCGATGTCCATATTAGTTAAATACCCTTCTAAGGTATTTATAGCGTGGTTATGACGACTATAAACAACAAAAACGAACAAAATGACTGAGGCAAGTGCCTCGGTTTGCCTTTTTCCAGCTACGGCCCTGAGATTGTGGGGCAGAGTACAGGTACAACTGTGTTAAGTTGTGATGTATGTTATTCCTTTTCAGGAGAGAACAACGAATCAACACCAGTGTATTTGACGCTGATTAAAAATGGAGAACAGATCGCATGGCTGAAAGAGATTGGCGGAGAGGCGGACAGTGAACAAACGGGAGACGAGTACGAGGATTTTATGAAACGTCTTGAAATGTCGGACTGTAACATGACATCGGACGAGAGTAAACGATCAAAGGCAGAAAACAGGCCACCTCTATCAAGTGACGCAGAAAAAGAGGGTGAAAGTCATGAAGAGATAGAACAGGAAGATGAAGAGTCACGAAAGAACGGTGGAGGAAAACCTACCAAGAAGAAAAAGAGATCTGAACGAAAAAAGAGGACACTTGAAAGGAAGGAAGATGTATTTGAGAAGAATGTTAATCGAGAATGTGTCAGTGATAGAATAACAATGCGAAATAAAGCAATGGAAGAAAAGGTGGAACTGGAATTTACTTCAGAGGACTGCAATGAAAAGAGGTCTGACCGGAAAAAGAAAAAAGTGGAAGAGAATGAAAAAGAATTGGTGGAAAATGTTAATCAAGAAAGTGTGGGTGAGAAGCAAATATTAGAAGGAATTGTGGAACATGAAGTTACTTCACAGAGCATCATTAAAAAGAAATCTGAACAAAAACAGCGAAAACTGCAAGAGAATGAAGGTACACTGGAGGAAAATGTTTATGAGGAGAGTGTGAGCGATGGAAGAATATTCTCAGAGAAAACATTGGAAGGAAATGCGGAACTTACATTCAATTCACAGAGCCCCATTAAAAAGAAATCTGAACAAACACAACGAAAACTGGAAGAGAACGAAGATACACTGGTGGAAAATGATGATCAAGAAAGTGTGAGTGATAGAAGAATAATCTCAGAGAAAACAATGGAGGAAAATGTGGAACTTGAATTTACCTCACAGAGCCCCATTAACAAGAGATCTGAACAAGAACAGCGAAAACAGGAACAGAATAGAGAAACACTTGTGGAAAATGTTAATGAAGAAAGTGTGGATGACAGAAGAGTAATCTCGGAGGAAACATTAGAAGGAAATGTGGAACTTAAATTCATTACACAGAGCCCCATTAAAAAGAAGAGATCTGATCAAAACCGTCGAAAACTGGAAGATGAAGGTACACTGGAGGAAAGTGTTAATGAAGAGAGTGTGAGTGATACTAGAGTGACCTCAAAGAAAACAATGGAAGGAAAAGTGGAACCTGAATTTACTTCAAAGAGCCCCATGAAAAAGAGACAGCGAAAACTGGTACAGAATAGAGAAACACTAGTGGAAAGTGTTAATGAAGAGGGTGTGGGTGATAGGAGAATAATCTCTGAGAACACAACGGAAGGAAATGTGGAAAATGAATTTACTTCACAGAGCCCCGTTAAAAAGAGATCTGAGGAAAAACAACGAAAACTACAAGAAAGTGAAGATACACTAGAAGAAAATGTTAATGAAGAGAGAGTGGATGATAGAAGAATAATCTCTGAGAACACAACGGAGGGAAATGGAAGACTTGAATTTACCTCACAGAGCCCCGTTAAAAAGAGATCTGAACAAAAACAGCGAAAACTACAAGAGAATGGAGATACACTGGAAGAAAATGTTAATGAAGAGAGTGTGGATGATAGAAGAATAATCTCAGAGCAAATATTAGAAGGAAATGGGAAATTTGAATTGACTTCACAGAGCCCCGTTAAAAAGAAGAGATCTGATCGAAAATGTCGAATACTGGAAGATGAAGATACACTGGAAGAAAATTTTAACGAAGAGAGTGTGGATGGTAGAAGAATAATCTCAGAGAAAACATTGGAAGGAAATGGGAGATTTGAATTTACTTCGCAGAGCCCCATTAAAAAGAGATCTAAACAAAAACAGCGAAAACTGCAAGAGAATGAAGATACACTGGAGGAAAATGAAGAGAGTGTGAGTGGTACAACAATAGCCTTAAAGAAACGGTTACAAAACAATGTGGAACTTGAATGTGCTTCGCAGGACCACGATAATAATAACAATAATATAAAGATAGCATTGAAAAGAGAAGCTGCTGAAAGAAAATGGGGTGTTCGGAGGGAGTCCGATAGTCAAGAATCAGTTGGCATGGAAACACCCAAGAAAAAAGCTCGTGAGGATGGTTATTGTGAAGATAAGCGAAATGATAATGACAAGAAAACACACGACAGAAGAACACTAGAGGGAGCGAACAACATCAGTGATGGACTTCAAGAAGGAAATCAGATAGAAATGTTGAAAAAGAATAAAAAGAAAAAGAAGGGAAAAAGAAAGAAAAAAAGAGAGTCAAGTGGCATGGAAAGTACACCAGAATCAACACCAACATCTCTCCTTGAGAAGGTTGAATCCTCACGAAGCAAAGATCAACAGGATGAATGTGTGGAACGTGAATTTGCCGCCAATGTGAAAAATAAACATCAAATATCAAACAGGAAGGCTAGGAAGGAATCAAACTGTGATTTGTTACAAAAACAAGAAAGTCTGGCTTTCATTGGCGAGAAAAATTTCAAGAAGAAAGATCGGTATTGCGAAGAAAAGCGTAGCGAAGATGACGAGAAATCAAATGACAGAGGAACAAGCAATCAGGTGGAGAAAGTGGACAGTATGAGCGAACAACTTCAAAAAGAAATTTGTGCACAGCAGAATAAAAAGAAAAAGAGACAAAAAAAGAGAAAGGGTGAGTTAAACAGTATGGGAAGTGCAACAGAAATACCTTCACCTCCGACCCTTGAAATCGTTACCAGTAGTTCATTAGATGATAGTGGCTATAGTGAAAATGGACATAACAAGTCAAAACAGCATGAACAATGTAGGCCTGAGCAAGGTGAATCAGTGCACCAGTCTCGTATATCGAAGAAAAGGAAAGCGGCGGCAAACCACGAGAAGGAAACACTGTCTGGACAAGGTTTGTTCGTATAATGAATACTTTTAACCTGAGTAAACGGTCAGTTTCTTCGACCGAGCGATGTCCAAGGGTTCGCCGAGACGAAATCGCATATTTCTTAGAGAGAGAGATCGTGAAGTATTGCCCATTGGCTGAAATTTGAAAAAAAAGATAAATTGCTTGATTTTATTATTTATTTGGCCTCAAAATTCCGTGAACATACTGTAATGATCTGATTGAAGTTTTTCAGTCATTCTCTGACTTGTCCAGACGTTTTCGCTTGAAGCTTGAAATATTTGGTTCTCATCTTGAATAATAACTGTTTTGCTCATGATAAACAGGACTTCAGACCTCCGAGCCAGACGCGGACTTATCCCAACAGAAAACAAATTCCAAGAAGAAATCGAAGACGTCTTTGTCTCTGTTAGACCTGGCACTAGATGGTAAGTACAATGCACCTACGGAGACTGAGACCAAACTGTATATCAGATGATCACATTTTAGAGGGGACGAGAGTATAGACCATAATGGGAATGTTCGAAAAACTCGAGATATTGTCGCGACCTTTTCAAAAGAAACGGATACCGGCGAGTTGGGAAATGTCAATTGAATCATTTCAAATCTTTCATAACGTTATAAAATACAATTAACTTTGGAGTGATACTAATCGCCTGACGCTGGTGGGCCCCACTTGTGTTTTGAATATTTGATACATGGCCATTTCCATGGTACGTGGCCTTATGCTCCACTCACGAAGGAGCGAAGAGGATGAGTGTGATTTCCATGGTAAACAATAGAAAGAGGTGGTCGATTTGTAAATACTACATGTAGTTAAGCAACGCTTTCAAGTGGCATATCATGGAATATCCCACGAGTCACCGAGAAAATATAAGTGACAAGAGGAATAGTCCATGGTATATCACGAGAGAGCTTTGCATAACTATTTTATGCCATACTATAGAAGCTACAGTGGCAACACAATCATTGCGACATACGCGCAGCGCATGATGGGAAGGTTGGATGTAGTACGTCAAATATACAACGGCTTTCCTGTATTCTGATTAGCTGTATTTTCTATGGCATGGTATGGTATGAATGCCATTGCTTTAGATATGTATCGTATTTATTTCCACAGATTCAGCAGAGCAGGGGAGTTCAAACAAAGCCAGCAATCGTAAAACAGTTCGCAGCGAAGGAAGACCTGCTCACCAAATGGCAAGACATTTTCGGCAAACGCCAAAAGGATTCCTGCATTCTGCCAAAAATCGGAAAATAGCTGCGTCGACATCAACCATAGTTATCAGGCGCAAACCACGGATCAATCCGAAAGCGAATGTAGAAATGACTGCTAAAGAAAAGGACCTGGTAACTAGCGGTGTCAGTTTTGAACAACTTTTAGATGACGAGTCCTTGTGGAGCACGTGACTGTGCATCACATGATACCTGACTTTAAGAAATGTAGGAGGACTTGTATTTTCTCGGAGCAATGTAGGTCTGATGTTGCCCGTGTGGCAACACACACGACTCTTGTTTTGTAACAAATCATTCAGCAAGTTCAACACAAACAATTTTGCAGATATTGATGTGGGATTCCACTTGTTACAGTATGGACACTTGAGCCGTAACACTTGACATTTTTTTTGGTACATTTTCTTTGGTTGACTATAGCTCATTTTCACTGTCGCGCAATTAAAAAATAAGTCAAAACCTATCCCGTGGAAAAAGCTAAGAAATTGTGATGTTGTAGAAGATAACTAAATAAGACACTTCTCCAAGTTTTAGGCTTGTGCGTTTCCCCAAACTTCAGATATTTGTCGAAATTTTTCGCAGAAATTTACAGAACCTAGTGTGAAAACGCCATGTTGGTGTACATCCGTGATACACCAATATGGCGACCGGAAAATAGTGTAAACATCCTGGAACTTACTTTGGCTACCTAGGCGAATGATTATCTGTATTGGACATTTACATAAGCACTTTTCCTAATG